AAGGACAGGAGTTTCACTCTCAGTAACAGAGCAGATATAATGAAAGTACTGCCAACAAGGTTATTATGTTGCATTGCTAAAAAATTCCACAAGTTTTTCCTGGTTATTTTGAGGAATACTTTACTGAGACTATTCAATTAATATCCATCTTCACTCACAATCTTTATAGAACACCCCGTGTAAGCGTGCAAATTTAGATACAACTTGCGAGTACAAATTTACTTGCCTGGATACATTGATTTACCTGCCGACAAATGGGGCCGGTTCGAAGCGCAAGTGACAATCGAATTTCGCATCAGTGCACCGACAGACCAGATAACATTGAATGCCGATGAACTGCAGTTTGACAGCTTCCGGCTACTAGGTGAAAACCATAATGCTGTAAGCATTTTTCTTCTAAAAATCAACTTTTATGTCCCGAATTTTCACACCTTTCCAGATTTCTGGTACATTGAAATTTAAAAAACTGTAATATTTCCAAAACTTGCAATATTGCGCAAATACGGTGTATACTGATAAAGTTGCGTTGTTTAGATAAAATCTATGTCATTGAATGCCACAATACAGACAGTGGTATTTAAGCTAAGTGAGAAACTACGCGGAGATGAAACGCATGCTATACAGGTAAATTTTGACTAGTGAGTTATAAAAACTTAAAGCAAATTAAAAAATCACAGTGCTTCACTTGGCCGCAGTCAGGCAGCTTTTTCTTTTCTACTTTCGTCAGTGACCATGTTTCACCTCCTCACGTCACTGCTTTTATTTTCACAATACTGAATAAGCTTGTTATTGCTGTTCAATTTTATGATTTGTGGAGCAAACTTCTTTAGATTAAATATTCTGGAAAAATGGGAAATCTTTCCGGTTTGTACATGATACGGTACCCGGACGAGAACGGGCAGGAAAGGTTTGTTATTCGTTTTTACGAACATCAGTATCCAAAATAATTTATTACTTTCTTGCTCCAGTAGGAAATGAGGTTCACAACAACAGCCCAGGCGACGGAAAATCCGCGAGGCGTTTACGAGTGCATATAAAGCAATCACGTTGTGAAAGGTTAACTCGATGTGCATTTGGTAGAAGGACTCTAAATGATTATTATAAAGAACAAGAGCCGATACGGCATGTTGCATCTCCATAGATTCAGAGATAATGAAAATGAGGAGTTCAATTCTTTTCCGGCTATTCGCATTTCTACAA